CTCTCTCTCTCTCTCTCTCTCTCTCTCTCTCTCTCTCTCTCTCTCTCTCTCTCTCTCTCTCTCTCTCTTCTTTCTCTTTCTTTATTTCTCCCCTACTCTCTCTATCTCTTTTTCCAACGTCTCTCTCTCTCTCTCTCTCTCTCTCTCTCTCTCTCTCTCTCTCTCTCTCCCTTTCTCTCTCTCCCCCTCCCTCTCTCTCTTTCGTGCTCTCTATCTCTACAGGTGGGTGTTTATTTGGCAGGAACTCTCTCTCTCTCTCTCTCTCTCTCTCTCTCTCTCTCTCTCTCTCTCTCTCTCTCTCTCTCTCTCTCTCTCTCTCTCTCTCTCTCTCTCTCACACACACCCCCCTCTCTCTCGCTCGCTCTCTTCCTTTTTCTTTGCCCTCTACCCACCCTTATCTCTCGGACCTTTCTATTTGACTGTCTCTCGATTCATAAACTTGATGTTCTGTACACCGCTTTCGTGCTGTAGAGTTATGGTAAGAGTCACAGACAAATGTTGTCTCATAAACAATACAAACACAGTGACAAAATAGAGCATTTTTATGAAAATCGTCCCGCTAAAATCCAATCATATGTCTATATCTTGAAGATTGGTCCGTTCTGAGCCCTGCCATTATATTCACCCTGTGATAAAGAAGTGATTTACAAATTGTAACTTATTTTTATAAATCCATGGGTAGTTGGCGCTTGTTCTGGTACGATTTGCTCCTTTCCCATGGGACATCCATCATCCATATCTCTCCTCCTTCTAATTTGAGTCTGTTATTGTCTCGTACCACCCCTAATCTTTCGGCACTTATAGATCTTGTTGTGTTGCAAGTACCACAAAACTTTAAACTAAAATTAAACTTGTCTAATTTCCATACTTTCAGGAACGACATGACTTTGTCAGACAACTCCCTGGTCTACCAAGTGCTTCTGCCTGCCTCTTGTGCTGTCTTCATCATAGTCGTCGTTCTGGTCATCGCCTGTTGTCTGATCAAGAAGAAGAAAAAGTAAGAACATCGAATGTGATGTAATTGGCTGTACATGTATGTCTCAACATCTGTGATGTGATTATGCTTCCGTGTGTATATGTGTGTGTGTGTGTGTGTGTGTGTGTGTGTGTGTGTGTGTGTATGTGTGTGTGTGTGTGTGTCTCTTTCTCTCTCTCTCTGTGTCTCCTTCTTTCTCTCTCTCTCTCTCTCTCTCTCTGTGTGTGTGTGTGTGTGTGTGTGTGTGTGTGTGTGTGTGTGTGTGTGTGTGTGAGTGTGTGTGTGAGTGTGTGTGTGTGTGTGTGTATGTGTGTGTGTGTGTGTGTGTGTGTGTGTGTGTGTGTGTGTGTGTGTGTGCCATCAAAACTGGGTACACAGGAGAGATCATCATTGTCACAAGACAGCTAATAATTTTATGTTATCGTGGTGAAATCAGGCGCTCTTCACTTTTTGGGCGTATCGAGTTATTGGTGTCATCTTAAAGCTAGTTTATTTGTCTTGCTTTTGATGAAAAAAAAATACACACATAAATTGAATAGAAGTCGAGATATCTGCGATTGAAAGACGTCTGGTATCAGATATCAGAGGTAAAATTAGCGAAAAAAAAATGTGCGCCAAAGTTTGGTGACTTCCAAAGCTTGAGAGATTCCTGGAGATTGCAGATTTCCATTTTTCTGCGCCTTTGATCAAAGTTTTTTCCCGCTGCAAAATCTACAACGTGTTTTTTAAATAGACATTTATTGGGGTTGATCCATTAAAAAAAATCGATGCAAATTGCTCAACAAGAGGAAATGTTCCGGTTTCTTTGGTTTAATTATTCTGACGAACGCCTGACTTCCCTGGGAAGGCACGTACATTGTTTTTTAGAACAAGGTTTTAGAATTTGCTGCAGCAACCTTGTTCAATCGCTACATGCGAAAATGAAACTGTAGTAGCTTAATTAGTGAGCAGGATCCAGAGAAGAACCACTTCATACCACGAGGGTTTTGTGTGTGTGTGTGTGTGTGTGTGTGTGTGTGTGTGTGTGTGTGTGTGTGTGTGTGTGTGTGTGTGTGTGTGTGGG